GAATGCTACTTACGTGTAGGTTCAACTAACACTAAAACCACTCGTACACCCTAATTTTTTGTCATCAATTAAGTAGGATGCATTCTCCTTCTATTGTGACGCTGACAAAGAAAAAGAGCTTCCACATATAAAAAATGACTAAAAATGAGATTAAAATCGATTTCTAATAATCGACCAAAATTAATTTAATTTTGATAATCGATTAAGAAGAATAAAATCAACTGAATTATATCTTTAAGACTGAAAGATCTTATTAAAATCAGATTAAAATAGTGCCATTTTGATCGATTTCTAATCCAAAAATAGTCAATTTTTGTCTGATTTTTAGCCTTTTGTTACATGGGTATACTACGGGAAAATGTAGCTGTATATTTGCTATGTTGTGATATCGTTTCTGAGGTTTGTGCTTTGTGCCGAGAGCCCACGGTGTGTCAACTGAAATGGTAAAGATAAGGCCGTTCTAAAGGTCTTGAACTTTATAAAAATATTGCTCATAGCATAAGACAGAACTGGCGAGTCTTTCTCGACTCTGTGGAAATGCAATCTTGTTGCTTGGCGATCTATTTAATTGAGCATGAGAGGGTGCTATTTATACTGAATAAGAGGAATTCGCCAACGTTAACGATCTTTTGTAACGAAATACCATAAAAGATAATGATCCTGTATCAGATCAATTACAGTAGACACAGACGGTAGCTTGTGATATTATCCAATGAATGTATACAGTCGCCGTATTATTACGCTAGTCGTTAACGGTGACTTTTTACGGTAATTGTATACGATGGCCGTAATATGTCGTAAAGCATCGTTTACAATTGCTGTATATGGCTGACGCAAACAGCTGCCGTTGTCCGCCGCAATTGGTTGGTACACGGCCGTGTACGACCGAGCATGATTGACCTGGGAAAGCACAGTTTTCCTTGAGAAGCTGCCGTTAATGAAAGCTTGATGGAAATTATCTTAAACTTTACTTGTAGTGTTTTTTGTAGGTACTTGGTTTAACAGAACAGTCTTATCTTTTTTATTAAATTTAGAATTTCTTCTCGTGACTAGAGCTTAGCAATGATTTTGAGTATATTTGATCGACAAAAAAAATGAAAATTCTAAAATAAATCTATTTATTTGCTTACAATACTGTCAAATTAAATTAAATTTATGATAGTGCTATGTATTATAACGTGCATAATATCGCTGTCCACATAAGTTATCATTAATTTACTGGAAAAAACTTCGGAATCGGAGTTTCAAAAAACCAATTTCACAATGAAATTGGAGTTAAAAATACGAAACTATGCAGATTCCTAAGTGAAATTCTAATAAAATCCATTTCGTTTTTGAAAATGAAAGCACTCATTTTTAGAAACAGTTTGCAGCGTTTCTTATAGAGATGCAACTGCAATCTGACTTGACTGAGACTAAATCTATTTCGAAAGTGTGTTTTTGACGTTGAAATATTATCATATTGATATTTTAGTATTTATTTTCTTTGTTAGATATTGATCAGTCGTATAACCCTTTTCTTTACCAATAATATCGCATCAAAAACAGATAATGACTGATTCTCAACTGCAATATAACAGTATCGGTTCGAAGTATGCCGAAATTCAGGAAGTGGATCGTCGAAAATATGTTGAACATTATACAGTTCACAATCGAATGCTTCGACGTGTAGCGGATGAGAATGGATTGCTTACGGGAAAGCGTGCACTTGATCTGGGATGTGGTCAGGGTTACTACACTCGTATATTGAAAGCATTAAACTGTACTTATGTCCTCGGTGTTGATGTAAGTTCAGCAATGATCGACCTTGCTCGTAAAATTGAATCTCATAACAAAGATGATATCGATTATATAGTTGCTGATGCGAGAACACTGCCCTCACCGCAACAGCCTTTCAATTTGGTCACTTGTATATATGTATTTGATCATGCTCAAACAGAGAAGAACCTATTCGAAATGATTCGCACAATTTATACGCAACTGACTGAAGATGGACATCTAATTGCTATTATAGCTAATGTCCGAGCAGGTAAAAACGCATTCGAAAACCGTAAATATGGCATAAAGAAACGTTACAAAAATCCTGTCGACGAAAATCATGTACCCAACGGCACCGAAATCATTGTCACATTATACAACAAGAAGGACGAACCAACATGTACATTCACTGACTATTATTACTCTGCGGAGACTTATGAACAAATATTCAAGGAAATAGGTTTCAAATCTTTTGATTGGGTTTTAATGGAATGCGACCCTGAAGCTCCTAACAAAGAGTTCTACGATGAATATATTAAATGTCCGTCCTCTGTTGGCTTCATTGCAAAAAAATAAACTAGAATCATACGAAACATCAATGACTTATTAGAAACATTATCCATATTGACTCAACAAGTCATAACCAAAATCTTGGCTTGACTCTTTTTTTCTTCCTATGTCCATGTAGAAGAAAGTGGGAAAATCCACTTTTAAGCGCTTTCAATATTAATAAAGCGAAAAAAGTTAACTTTTCTTTCTAATTTTCACTTTATGTAATGAATTTTAGTACTTTTTCAACGTTTCGTAGTACTTTGTCATGCATGACGCATATAGTATTTTATTTTTATACTATTTGGAGTACTTAATCGTACTTTTATCATATGCAAGAATGATTCATAGTAATTTTAATGCTTCCAGAAGTACTTCGCAGTATTCTAGAGTACTATCGATGTGAAAAAATCAGTGACAAATTTGCAAGAAAAGTCCTATCACTAGGATCAAATTGATACAATAGTTTATGATTTTCCATTATGTATGACTAAAGATCCGTTTAAATGACGCGTTTTCTATTTATGTGCATCGTGAAAAAGTGACTTTGTGTGTTAATATCTTACAAAGAAAAGCTCTATTAAATACTTCGCAGATTAGGTCACGTTAAGCGCCTAGCGTAGGAAAGTACTATTGAATGACGGGTGTCTTAGAAAAAATGGACCTTTCTGTATTTTATCAATATTTCCATTCAGATCTACTTCTTTGAGTGGAATTTTTATCAAAACATTCTTGGTTCAATTTTCTACAAACTGGCATGAAAATATTTAAATATAGAAACTAACAGTCAAACATTTTGAGCTGAAGATTGTCAGACAAGCAATTAGGGTGTTGTGTAACATTATTTGGTTATTTTTTCATTCTATTAACTGTTGCATCCACAAGATTAAAAAAACCTGAATCATCCATAGACAAGTTCTTGAAATGTTCTTTCTGAATATCAAATCGAATTTCATCCATAAGCATTATTTAATATGTAATCAGAATTTTTCTTCTGCAAACATTTCAAAGGTTTCGGGAAAAAATTAGTTTCTTTGTATAACTTCTGTGTCTATTTTCAATAATAACTTTTCCATTGAACTATAGTCGTTATTCTGAAACGGTATGGGTGTGAAAGTGGATATGGATGAACTAATCATTTTCAAAGAAATAGAAAATAAAGAAAAATAACACTTGAGTGAAATATAATATGCATATACGAATGTAATTGACTCTGTAACCTATAGAATGGTTTACGGTTTACAAAGAAGTACATAATAATGTTAGAAGTAGTAAAAAAGGAAACAATCGAAAGAAGAACTGTTATGTCTGTGGAAGATTTATGTGAAAGATAGAAAAATAGCAGATAATATGTTGATGATGAATCATACTCAAAGATCTCGTGATTCCTCATGCCTATCAGTTAAATGTTCTTATCAGTGAAAATAACTCACTGCCTATGTCAGATGGCGTGCATTCTATTTTCTAAGACAATGCGTCAAGTCAATGGGGAAAAATAATTAAGTTTACAGAGCTATTCGTCAGGACTATGAATAGCTAAGTATCACTATCTGTTGCTCCTTGTATTAGGGTTGATAATTATACCTTCGATTGAACGTCGTTATTCGTTTTAGATCACATCTGGAACAGCACACAATTAGATGAATCATTTGGCTAATATGTTACGACGGTTAGTCAATATTCGCACTGTCAGTAAATCCTTATCCTTCGTTTTCAGATCGCCAGCTCTCCCATGGAAAGAAAGAAGTCTAACAAGTGACAATGTTCCTACCAGACTTGAAGATCTTCCCAATGAACTTTGGCTCGAGATAATACATTATCTGAAGGTGCAGCATATTTACCAAGCGCTTTTTGAACTTAACAAACGAATTGATGATATTCTACGTTCGCTCAACCATCTTCCCTTTACTACCCCTCACACCATAAACGACTGTAATATGTTGATTGAATTGTTTGGCCATCGCATTGATAGACTACGATTAACTTATGCTGACCAGAATAATATTTACCTGACTGGCTTCCCACATATTCGCTCATTACATATCGTAAATACATCCAGCCATGAAATTTATGCTATTCTCTGTAGGTTTCATCATTGAGTATTACTTGATGTTTATTTTATATTAATTGTATTGTCTTCTCTCTAAACCTATACTAGTAAACACGATATTCTCCAATGGTTTTCCACGGCTCGAAAAATGCATTCTTCCAAACATGCATGAGACAATACAACCAAAGTGGTTATCTACTAGTGTCCGTTCTTTAAGTATTATGAACTGTCGGCCGTTTATCTATCCACATGTTCTCAATTCCTGTCCTAATCTTGCTCGTCTTTCGATTGTGCTCAACTCGTTAAACAATACATTAATTGGGGCTCCTTTGACTCCCTTTAATCATCAACTCATGTTTCTGATGATGACAATCCAAGATTGGTCCGATTCTTCATTCGTAGAATTCTTTCTGCATTATGTACCCGTCCTTGAGCAGCTTTCGATTCAAGCTAGCTCGCGATCGACCATCAACTTTGTTGAACTAGCGCATATTCTGTTTAAATACGTGCCTCGATTGCAACGATTTGAGTGTGATTTCTTGATAATCCATAGAAATCCAGTGGAAATGGATTATATTCGTCAATTACATCAGTGTTTTGCGAGCATGAAATGTATTGACCGTTTTCATGATCACGTACGAATTACTACGAGAAAAAAGTATCATATCAAGGAAATAAACTGAAGTTCAAGTCTATAGAAGGAGAACGCAAACAAATCTTCTGTTTGGATGTGGATTTCCTACAAACTGAAAACACTATTTGTATATCATTTTATTCATGTTTTCCCAAAATAAGAAAATTTCACATGAAAGTTTTATTCATACTCATTATTAAGATAAGTATCCTATTGGATTAGCAGTAATCAGTGTAATTCGACAATATCACAGCATCCCAAATAATATGTCACAATCAGATTGTTGTTTAGGCAAGGTATGGATCTGAAACCTTTTAGGGTTTTCTTAGTCTCATTAAGTCCTACTCATAATCCCACAATAGGTTCGAATGATGTCCGACAGTTGCTATATATTCTCTCGCTCATCGCTACACCATAATAATTTATTTCGAAAAACTTCATTAAGAAAAAACCAAATCAAATTGCACTATCTCTCTCTATTGGATATAGTTGAAAAAGATTTAATGCTGAAAATTGACTGAAAAATCATAATAATTTTATACTTTTAAAAACATAAAACTGATATATTTGCTTGTCTTTAATTTTTCTAGAATTGATTTGCATCGTTGTATTATTCTACTACTCTGAAGATATGTAAAACTAATTATTAAAATCTGTGAAATTAATATATATCCGAAATTAACATAATTTAATAATAGTTTACTGATACAATTAAAACATATTATACTCAACAGTGGCATATAAAATTTCTTATTTCAAGAAAATATAATGTTTTTGTTTTTTTGTATGAAGTCTTACACAAACTGTTTGCTTTTCTTATCAATTTAACTGCTATCTTTTAGTAAAGCCACTTTTTAATGAATTCTTTATTATATGATAATAGAAATCTAACTAAAACAATAGAGTTTGAGCTTGTATTCTGCGACGATTTGTGTTTATCAAGTTCAATATCGGATTTTGAAATAACAAAATATATATAATAACATGAATATCTTTTTTGTTTTTGAAATATAAACATTTAAATGTCACTGCGCAGTCATCATTATTATTGAATAGTAGAAAAACAAAAGTGTCTTTCTTCAAAGATCAATCGCAAATAAATTATTAAAAATTTTTTTTTCCAAATATTCATTAGCTTTTCCTCAATATCCATCTATTTAGGGTGAGGGTGTGTGTGTGAGTAAACAGATTGACAATCAACGTAAACGATGTCGAAAATAGATCCCCCCAAAACCAACAGAGTTTATGTATCATCATCTTGTGTAACTTTATATTTGTTTAAAGAAAAAAAGATATGCTATTAATACTTGACTTATTCAAGGGAATCACATATGTGCTTTTTTTATTATCTTTGCTAACTCTTCATTGACTAATGCAAACAGAATTTGTAGGCTGTTTAAAGTATGCATTCATGAAATGATCAAGATCTAATGTCACAGTTAATTAATCGATATTCAGTTCTTCTTTCTTTCGTCTTTCAAAAACAGCTAAACATGATAAATATGAAGAAGGCGATATCAGTATTTCGACTCTCCAGATGGACTTTCATGATTTGTGCAAATTATTGCGTGACTATTGCTGAGAGGATGTTCGATTGTGTCGGCCAGTGGTTGTATTGAGATGCAATCTTTAGTGCCAACTAAATCTGACGCTATTGCAATTTTCTTTCGGCTTCTTTTCGACGATCGTCTGTTTCTTGCTTTTTTAGAACAGCGTTTTCGCACGAGCCGAATGACAGGAATAATCGTCAGTTTCAATATAAAAAATGTAAGTCCGAATAAGTCCAGACATAACACTAAAATGAATATGTACATATATACGTATTTCTGCTAATCGCCTCAGAACTTCTTCAGGATAAATTCAATTTTTATTTTGATCGAGAGAAAAGTTTTCTTGATGACACATCTGATTATCTCAAGAAACATCGACGTTTTTGACTCACTCAGCTATAGTATTTTCGATGAGAAAATGTTCAATCCTTGTTACGAGTCATTATAACTAAAGTCTTACTTGCAAATAGAATTGTGTTAAACACGATCTCATAATGACGAGCAATAGGTTCTTGCGTATTTTTCATATAGAATTCAGATTCAGTTATCACTACAACTAGAATGGTTTCGTCAGGTACATAACGAAGATATTCAGCATCTAGCGAGAAGAGTAGTTCATCCGTGAGAGTATCGACCATGAAAGAAGGTAGCCAAAGGCCTGTATATGTTGTATTATTAGGAATCATCAAGCCAGCAGTTTGATTGATTAATTTGGTCATTTTGACGTTTACTGTCGGATTTCTTGTTAGAGTTCCATTTGAAGTAAAAAAGAATTTACAAGTATCTATTTGTTGAACCTTCGAATGAGCAGTGACATTTATAGCTGAAGGTGCTGAAAAACAGAGACGAAGTCCACCGATAAAATGTGGCCCATTTAAAGTCAATTGCAATGTGACAACATGCTGTGGTAATAGTTTGGAAATGGTCAATATTTTATTAGTCTCTGAACAGTTGAAATTTGTGAATGGAGTGTTAAGTCCACGATCTCGAATTTGTTGCAGTGATACATCTTTGCATGTATAACCTGTACTAATAAATTGAACAATCATAGTGATTTTCTGTTTGTTGAGTAAGTCAAATATTGGCTTCTCGTCTTCATGTTTGAGTGTCGATAGTAACTGTAATGAACTGGTGAGTTTGGCATTGAATAGTGAATCATCGCATGATACACTTAGTCGCTCATTCGATGATGTTTCTTCTATTGGATACAAATAACTAAATGATATACTGAACTTCCAAGCAAATGTGATGAGAACAAGTAGTGATAATGATATCAGTCCACCGAACCAGTGCTTTCCTTGACCGATCACATCACAATGACACAAGATTTTTTCAAGATATCGTTGTGGCTTTTTAGATTTCAAACGGCATGAAAGAAGTTTGATAATAATAAAAATGATTATCCCACAGCCGATCGCAACATATGTCCAGAATATGGGTGAAATCAGAAGACAATGTAGTTTCGTGATGGACAATTTAAAAATATTCTGAAGAAGTATATCACCGAATTCTGTTGTAATAGGCGACTCTGGATAAGGATTCGCCTGATCGTAACTTGTGATATTTGTCACGTTGGTTTCATTAATAGCAGCGCCAAAACACCATGATGTATCATCGGTTGTGCATCTGACACACATCTCTCCAGCACTACCATCATTTTTCCAACCAGGCGGACACATCATACAAGGTCCAAAGCTTCTACTGACTTGATGAGTACCTGGTATACAAGGTTTTGGTTTGTATATTGCTATATCATCATATTCCTCTATTAGTTTACTATAGTAGCCTGGGGGACTTGCAGAAATAAGAAGTACACCGGGAGCATCGAGAACAAGACCAACGATCTGAGAATTCCATGTCACTAGATTAACAATACGGTGAGGCAGCTGCTGCAAATTCATTGGTTTCAATTGTTGTTGATTGTTTGGAAATATGTAGAGTGGCTTTGGTTTGACTTCTGTCTCATTGAGATAGTAAACCTGTGCATAAACAAATCCGATCACAATAGAAATTGTTTTCATTCATTTGAAAAATTATTTTCAATGGAAATAGTATATTTGCGAAAACAAACAAAACTGACACTAAACCACGAATGTAACAGCAAACTTCGGACCTATCGTAGTATTCTTGAGGTTTTGAAATACGACTAGACTACAAACAAAATGTAGTCGGAGTAGAAAATCATAGGCAATGCCGAGACCTTGCCTTTCAATTTCGGTTCTAGTCTTAGTTAGTTTCGATCTTCATCAGTTTTAATCTCTGTCGAGTTTCTGATACAATGAAAATAAATCGAATTAGCAGTTCTTTGTGTAATTAATGCTCTCTGAGGATGACAAACAGAAGATGAACTTCTACAAGTAGAATTTCACAACTAGTGTAAAACTTATTCAAAACTATATTCCTTATGTAGCATGAACAAATGAATCAATAGACTTGCCTGTATTTGAGACGATGACCAAGGTTGAGTAGGCAATGAATAGACTAATACCGCGTACGTATTCGAGTCGAGCATGGCGACAGATTTGCCGAAAAAAACGCCCTTTTGGGATGAAGTATGATTTTTAACAATATGTGGTGTCTCTTGTTGCAGGGACACAATGAAAACACTATCCAAATATGGAATACCAATAATCATCATATTTGACTGTTCATGAAAAGAAAGTGACAAAATACTATGCCGCGTGTACACATACAGTTGCCATCTGAAATTTTTTGATGAAAGTCGTATCATTCCAAGTGACATAGGATTGGATGAATTGGAAAGATCGGCAAAATAAAAATAAGGAAGATTTCTTTGCTCTTCGTCAAGTATTCGATAAGCTACTAGTAACAAATGATGATCTTCTGTAATGATGAGTGCTCGGCTATAAAAAAAGCATTCTTTATCCCAAAGAACGGTATTAGGGATTTCTACGCTTGTGTTATGAACGATGTCAAGGCACAGCGTTTCAGTAAATTGTATGACACATGCATATGTACCTTGCGGATTGATACCAAGAGCAAAGGCTTGGAGGTCGTCGAACGAGTTCACTTTTCTCCATAGAAATCGTCTCCATCGATTAGCACAAAAAGAAGGATATGCCATAATTATCACTACTAAACAAATATTCTTGTCTCGATCTTCGCCTGTCACCGCAAATACAAGATGACTTGTATTTTGCTTGGTACCTATGGCTATGTTATACACGTAATTGAGAGACTTGGTGATTTCACCGGGTGCGTTCACGTCTGGATAGGCCACGATGCACCTTATGGGATAAGATGAGAATGGATTTTCTATTATTGTAAATTGTCGATACTCATTCTCCGCCACAATGGACAATTTTTCACTGACAGCCAATCGATCTCCAAATGCGTCGTAATCTTCTCGCTCGAATACTTCTGGTTTCATGCCACAAATAATTGGTAGCGTAAATAGAATGACGAACAGATTGCACATTCTTGCGTATTTTGTTCAAATTAATAGCTGTTTATCGTTTGCCTACACGAAAAAAAACATCTACAATCCGGCATTGCACTAATCAAGATGCAAAATATTGTTATTGGTCTTAAGCTTTTTTTGGTTGCTGAAAGAATTGGAAAGGTAGCGTTCTTCGTTCGTATTGCGTTTTGAAATCGGGATCATGACTTCGAAGCTATGACCACAATTTGACAAACATGATAAAAGTGTAAATTATGTAGTTGTTGCAATAATGAGTTTGTTATTGAAAACTTTTTTTCTAATACTTATGATAACGAATTTATTTTTCCTAAATTTTAATTTAAAAAAAATTGGAAATGAACTTCTAATCAGAGTAAGTCCTTTTTAGAAGAATTATTTTGAAAGAAAATAACATCGTGGCGGTACTGTTCTTAGGGAAGACTAGCATGGTTTCAATAAAAAAATGATTCTCTTTCATATTATTCTCTTACCTATATTAGTTGCTCTTTGAGTGACAAATAAAGAACTGACATATACATTGCGCATGCGTACATACATAATAGAACTCATATCTTAGATAAGTATTTGGTAGATTTGCACAAGAGCTTCCACTATCTGGATGAGATGAGTGTAATGATTGGTAGCGATCGAATGAATCACATCATATTCTACCTGTTGAGAAACTTATGCTTTCCGCATTTTCCACAAATAAACAATTTCAGCATAAATTCACTGATGATACAGAACCATGATCAACTATTTATAGCCTTATGTTTATCGACATTGTGTGTTTGTTTCGAGTTCAAAACTCTGAAAACATTTGAGAAGAAGTGATGGTTTCTATCAATTACTCTGGTTATGTTACAAGATGTATTTTTGTATGAAAATCAATGTTTAAATTATATTCATTTATTGTTGCAATCACACTCATATTCTTTATGTCTGAATATCAAAATGTAAGCGTGTTGTGATACTTATGATTAGTTTAAAAAGCACATTCTATCTCTCTGCAGAAATCATAATAGTTTTTGAACAAGAAAAAAATTGTGAACGAATAAAAATCATACATGAATGACTCAATAGACTAGAATATCACATCTCTATCCTCTTATTGACTTTTTCGCTGCGAGAAAGGATAAACTAGTAAGAATTTCAAATGCACTGGTAAGATTACAACTTTGTTGTTGATGAAGAATTGTGAAACGAGTTTGTACAACTGTTGTTGGATAGTGTTTTCTCGACTTGTCAATAAAGATATGGGCGTTTGTATTCTCTCCTCTCACATTCACATACACATCTGTATATCCACACCTATACGCTCGACGGTGAAAAACTTTGGAACTATCCGCGTTCGGTGACATAACCTATTTATTTGAAATTGCAATTTTTTAAGTTTACCACCTCTGTTTCTAAATGAAACTGAACAGAAAGTAAGCTCTCTTTAAAAGAATATGCTTTATATTATATTTAAATCTGAAATCTGTAAGCACACAGATTTCAAGCGTCGTAGTGTCAAGTGATCGTTAATAAATACTTATGTCCATTTTGTAATCAATACGCAACTTGTCAACTCTTGATATTTTATCTTTCAAAACTGTGAGCAAAATAAGAATAATATTTATGATTGTGCACGTCTTTGCATATTTTGTCGCGCTTACATAAGAATATGAAATTTTTCACGTAATAGTAGTAGTAGTAGTATATTGCTTTATTTATCGTAAGAAATCGAAAGAATAAATAAATAAATAAAGTACCATAGGAAGTGTAGGGGAAGACTTAGACGAACATCGTCTCTGCAGTCTCACATAAATAAAACCAATTAAGAATACATTAACACTAGATGAGAAAAGAAAAATAAGATACAGTAAAGAAGGAATAATATGATAATGAGGATAAATTAAAGAAGATTGAACAACATGGTAACTATTTTTATCTCTCCCTATCGTCACTCATAAGAATAATTTCAATAGTAATATGTATACATATTTAACATAATAGAAATCGGATCTACACCAATATCTTAAGTTCATTATTTGTTTGTCTTGGTTCTTCTCACGTAAAACAAAAAAAAATTGATCAAAAAGAGATTGTTTACCAGACGATAGTAGTTATAGTATACGATTTGTTGTTCTTTCTCTTGTTACAATTGCCTGATTTTCCTTAACCAAGACAGGATTCAAAAAATATTCTCTTAAGAACAACAGATATAGTTTTTGTTGAATAAAATCGGCAATGACTGTAGGATTGGTACGAACAGTTGTGGATAATAATACAGGCAAAGTTTCAAGTAAAAACTTGAAATTTAAGTTTTAAGCTCAATATCTTGGTTAGAACTCAACAAGAATATAAGATGTTTTGAAGATGGTTAGAGTCTACTAGTCTTCTGATATAAGAACAAGTGTGGATTCGCAGACTTTCAATTATCTGAGCAGCTTTCGTGGAAAGTATATATTTTGCTCATCAATAAAGAAAAAGTAACATTTCTTAGTTGAAGTCTGTTCATGGTTTTCTTTTAGCAAAATAGCCTGATTGATCATAGAAGAATAGAAATATTGAGTTTAATGTCTCATAACTATTTTTAGTAAAACCTGTATACTAATGTTTATTAGTTGTGTTATCTGACGAAATTTAAGATGGAATATGAGTGCGTAAGAATTGTGAAACTTTTTCTGAGAAAGATGTTTTCAGCTACGATGAAGATGTAGTGAAAATGTTGAATAGAATCATTGATAATGGGAAGCCAAATAATAGCTTATATTACTAAGCCCTTTTCTCTCCGTTGATACTACAACTAGTAGATGTATGACAAGTGTTCATAACACATAACTTTGAACTCATGCAGTTGTAATCGATCACTAACTTGTGCTCAGTTGACGAGTTTGTCGAATTTCTTAATTGAAGTACCAAAAATCTAGTTGGAACATTCATTCTTATTTACTTTTCAACAAAAATATATCATTATATAATCATCATTTAAGCATAATGATTTATCGGAACATGATCTGTGTTAGAAAGTCAAGTTTTTGGTAATTGAAAATTTGTCAACATTAAGAGCAAGGCTAATTCCCGCTATTTGTGCGTTCTCTGATGAATTCATGTGCTTCAATATCTTTAGCCAACGATACTATTCATCTGACAAAATTATCTGTTCTTGTTTTTACTAAACATAAATTGACTTTGTTTTGTTTTTGTATTCGAATTCAGTTAGTGAATTCATTCTATATTTTCTGTATATAGATTTCTTATAGTGGATGAGACTTTCAAAGTCTAAGTTTTCAGTGAAAAAATGTCTTGTGAAGAATAACATACATCTTTTTAAATTGTTAATTGTGCCAATAGTGAGTGTTCGAAGCCGACGAAAACGTTGTACGATCAGATGTATAACAGTTGAACATTGATCGCCAAAAATGATTAAATCTTTAACCTTTCGTGTGTATTCCAAACTAACCAGCATGGAATTAGCTATTTTTGCGAGAATGA